TAAACTGAACCACTTCTGGTCATTTTGCTCTGTTTGTGGGGAGATAGACGACATAACACAAATGAGATGGAATGAAAGGCCAAGTATTCTTGACATTTATTGAAAAATGAGAGGCTTGTAAACCTTAAAAAATCCCTCGCCAGTTTCCTCAAACTGAAAGATTACAACAGAAAAACCTCCAAGGAGGTCAAAGGTCAAAGGTCAACGGGCGAGGAAAACTGTCAAAACATAAATCAGTGAAAATTAAGCACAAATTAATCTCCCACAAAGGTGTGGGCCCCAGAAACGCCACAAGCCACACTAGTGTGTGGCCGCCCCACCCAAAATGACCAGAAGCAGAGGTAAATCCTTATGAAAGTACATTACTTAAGTGAACACTAACTAAATTGCTTGAATCCGAATACAGCGGATATCGAATAGAATAGAAGGAAAAACAGAACAATGTAAGGCACCCATATATAAGCGGCCCCTGCCTGACCTATATTCAAGTGCAAAACATGTTTTGTCTATTTCTGTAAACATGTTACCATACTGCTGGTTGCCTAATATATCCCTTGAATGCATCTGACTTCCATCTACCTAAAACACGGATCTGAGCATCGGACATTACCCATCTGAAGCAGCTTGTGAGGCTGCTCCTATACGAAATGTAATGCTGGTAACCACAATTCCCAATGTGTCTGGTCCCAGGGTAGTGGAGTTGAGTGCTTCAGAAAGCGAAATTGCTCATCATAAAACATCCAGCCAGCCTTTTTGGCTGCCAGGTCACGCACCACCTCTCCATATTTCATAAAACCTGAAATATCCTCAGGCTTTTTTAAAGTATACACTGCTACAAAGATGTTAAATGCAGAAATCCACTGCTCAATTGACGTAATTTTCTTAGTACTAGCAGCGGGCTCAAGACAAAGCTGAGGCCTACCCACACCATCAGATAATGCAACGGTGTACCAGGGAGGGATTACTAAGCAGAGTAGCGAAATCAATATAATCACCTGCCCAGATTTTAGATTTAACCTTATCTGACACCCTTTGCTACCAAAGGTACAGACTGGCTAGTGAACAGTGTGGTTGGCTGCAGCTCCCTCTCTGAATCCTGAATTATAGGTTGCTGTACAGCGCAAGTATCGATGCGCAGCAGAGGTCGATGCAACCATGTAGTGTCTGAGTGAAAACCTTGCAGTATCCTTGTAAAAACCTTGTTGGTATACATCTTTTCCTCCCAGGAATACATCATAGGAATGCCAAAATCCATCAAAGAAAGCTTAGAAAGAACTCCCA